GGCGGCGGGATCACATAGATCCCCTGAGCCGCCGCACAGTTCCTCCCTGGCACGATCAGTTGCTGGGGGGGAAGCTACTGAAAGGAGAGCGAGGCTGCCGAACTGCACATGTGTGCGCGTGCGCAGTTCGGCAGGGAGCCTGGATTGCTCTGGACGACGGGCACAGCGGCGATCCCACGGCCACGCTTGCTGCGGTGCGTCAGGTAAGTCCTCCTCTGTAGGAGGTTCTTTTTTGCAGCAGCTTTTCCGGGTTTAGGGCGGGATCAGGGACGGGTGCGCGCTGCTTCCCAGATGTTGCGGTGAGATCGCGCCCGTTTGCTGCGCCCCCGATCCGTCCCTCTCCCAGGCCAAAATCCTCCGTGTGACCGGGGCCTCAGTAAACTAATAATAAGAAGATAGTCTGGTTCCAGTAAGCCTTTTTGCTTAGTCTTACCCAATTGTCTTCCTTAAAGCAGCCCCCATTCCACTTGGCTTTTGTCCATGTAAGATCCCATGATCTCCAGCATAGCCATTTCTGGTGATCAGAACCACTCCTTCATTGTTCTTCAGAGGAAAAACTGTTTGGATTCCACTCATAATAGATAGGATCCAGTGACTCCAATAAGTGACAAGCCTGCCTCCAACATAACTAAGTCCTTCTGCCAGGGAAAGACTTTGTTCTCACTGTTTCTCCCACATTTCTCCCACTGTTTCTCCCTCAAGAGGTGGCGGGCTCTCCTTCTTTGGAGGTTTTTAAACAGATGCTAGATGGCCCTCTGACTGCTATGCTGATTCTGTGAAATTAGGCAGATCCCAAGAAGGGAGGGCAGGGAGGGTTGCATCAGTGTTTAGTTCTCATGGCCCTTTCTTACACGCCCAGGGAAATGCTGATTGCCACTTTGGGGTCAGGAAGCAATTTTTCTCCAGGCCAGTTTGGCCAAAGATCCTGGAGGGTTTTTTGCCATCTTCTGGGCATGGAGCAAGGGTCACTGGGTGTGTGTGGGGGAGGTATTTGTGAATTTCCTGCTTTGTGAAGGGGGTTGGACTAGATGACCCTGGAGGTCCCTTCCAACTCTATGATTCTATGTTTTACATATATAGCTATTTCATACAATCTCCAATAATTAAACAGTTTTCCACAAGACAAATGATATAAAATGCAATCACAATATAATGACAGGCAAAACATTACATAAAAAATGAAAACAAGAGGTTATGGCTCAATGGTAGATTGCATGCTTTGCTGTAGGTCAGAGAATCAGTCCTTTCCAGTTAAAGGATGTGAGCTATGAGATTTTCTTGGCCTGAGATTTGGATACCTGCTGCCAGCCACTGAAGACAAGCCTGATCTAGAGACCAATGATCTGACTTAATCAGGGAAGTTCTGTGGCTCTATGAAGAAACACATGCTTTGCATATAGACCGTCTTGGGTTTAATCCCTGTCCTTTCTGGTTAAAAGGTCTCATCTATTAGAAAGTGGCAACAATTTCCTACACAGATCAATATAACATCAATCACAAATATTTTTATACTAAGGAAAAATGGTAATAGATGTCATCAATCCAATAAAATAACTATAAAATACTCAGTGGCCCCGGTCACACTGGCCAGAAAATGGGGGGGGGGGAAGCATGGCTATTTCCCCCAAAGCAAAATAACTTGTGACCGCCCGATCACACGTCCTGTCAAAGACCCATGGTTAGGGAGTGAGGTGCCGATCACATGACTATCCTGCAGTGCGGCAAAGAAGTGGTGCGGCACGATCACACCAGCAATCGCTAGGCGCCGCTTCCGTGGCCAACGGGAATTTTTTTTTCTCACCAAAAGGTGAGCATGCACATGATCGTTTGTGCGCATCCTGTGAAGACTTTTTTTTAAAAAACTAACCGGCTTGCGACAGGACTAGGACGGGACGCGATCAGATGCCCGCCCTTGCCCCGCGTTTTCTGGAAACTAGTACATCGTAAGTACTAGTTTTTTACTCTTTATCTTTGGCACAAAGCCACGCGTTAGTCACGGGTCCAATACATTTCCCAGATGTTGCAGTGTGATCGCGCCCGGAAAATCCACCTATCATCCGTATCTTTAGCGCAGCAAATGCTCTGTGTGAATGGGGCCAGTGATCAACAAATAGGAAGCAAATAAAACTGGAACACCTTTGCAGCATTTGAGCCTGGTTTAGCTACATAATGTACACATTTGACCCATACCACTATAAAAGCTTGCGACTTAAACTTAACTCACTAATGTTAGTGGAAGCGACTCATTTGATCAAGGAGGAGGAGAAGAAGAAAGTAGCAGTTAAAACTGTTAAAACTGCAGAGCTCCCTCTAAACTGTGGAGTCTTGTGAGCAAAAAAAATCTACTTTGTGAGCTACTGGCATTGAAGTTGCGAGCAAGTGATTTGGCTACTGCATTAATTAATTTGCTCTGGAGCCATCCTTCCTGAGCTAAGACAAAAATGTGTGTCCTAGAAGCTTAAAAAAAAAATCTATGAGCTAGCTCACACTAAGCTTAGAGGGAACACTGGTTAAAATATTGTTTTTTTAAAAAAATAGCATAATCATAGGTAGTCTGTAGGCTGCTCTAGTCACTGCCCCAAGGCTTGTGAGGCAAGGAAGGGGCAAATGAAAACATCTTTACTTTCCTGAGCTGACAGCCTCTGTTAATTTCAAGAATGGACCTAAAAGCCATTGACAAGCAAAATGTCCCCATTAACTCTGGAAATGTTTCCTTTTTAAAAAAAAATATATCTTTGTTGAGTATTGTGCATGTGCATGTGGTTGATTTCTACTGACCCCTAGCAGGCATGGATGTTTCAGAGTTACTTTACTACTGTCTGCTTCTGCGCCCCAGCCCTGGTATTCCTTGGAGGTCTCCCTTCAAAGTACTTGCCAGGGTTGGTCCTGCATCGCTTCCAAGATCTGATGAGATTGGGCTTGCCTGGGCTGCCAAGGTCAGGGAAATGTTTCCATTTTTACTGGAAATGATAGTTCTGGACAGGATTCTGATAGAACCTCACCTATTTCTTACTCCTTATATGGATCCATGATACCACTGCCACTGAAACTCCTGAGGTTTCTGATTTTTATTCTCCATTTACAAGTTTTCTCTGTTCTCCCATCACAAATTTCAAAAGCAACAGTTTGCCAAGTACAAACAGATCATAATTGCCCATGTTCAAGAATTCTCTTTGACTGGTCTCTAACAATATCTCTCATGCTGCTTGGCGATTTTTGACGTATTTGAGTAGATCTCTTGATTTTGTTGAGTGGTTTTTCTCCAGCTCTCTATGTTTCCCAGGTCCTATGACAAGATACATGCATCTCCAGTTTTATTACTGGAACAGATATGACCAGAGCAATGCTCCCTCTAAGTTGTGGAGTCTTGTGAGCAAAAATTCTACTTTTTGAGCTACTGGCATTAGAATTGCGAGCGAGTGAGTGAGTTGGCTACTACATAGATTAGTTTGCTCTGGAGCCATCCTTCCTGAGCTAAGACAAAAATGTGTGAGCCAGAGGCTAAAAAACTGTGAGCTAGTTCATACTAACTCAGCTTAGAAGGAACACTGGACCAGAGCCAACTTTATGATTCATTAAACATTCAGAGCCTACCTAACAAGCTTACAAGAAGAAACTTTACGGAATCTATAAAACAATGAAAAATAAAAGCAAACAATAAAAAGCAAAGGATAGAAAATAAAACCACATACACAATAACAATCATTAACAACCCTAGAAAATACAACAGATTCACCCCTTTTCTTGCAAATGCACAAGACGAGTTCTTACCTCCTCTAGGAAATTTTCCACAGTGAAGTTGCCTTAACAGAAGAGACATGGGCTTTGACAGAAAGGGTGGACAACTTGAAAAGGGAAATAAAAAATAGTAGTCAGATGGATGAGCACAGCTGGTGCACAGGTTCTTCAAAGTAGAGTTAAAGCTTTTAAACACATGACTCACCGGTTGAGAAGACAAGGATCAGTACCATGAATTGACCTCATAAACAAATTAGCAATAGATACATCTTTTTAAACACAAGTGTAATGTCTCCACACTTGCCACCTTCAACAACAAATGGATCACTGCAGTGTTATTGGAGTTTCCAATTTATATTTAAGAGGCGGTCCATATACACTGTGTTATAGTAGCACAACTGCAAGGTTACACAAGCAACTATCGGCACAATCAGAAGAATGAAGACATTCCAGACAATTTATTTTTATGTGCTGAGAGAGCTCATGGAAATAAAAAAAGTCATTGGCAGACTGTGGCTGCAGTCACACATGCGAAATAATCCACTTTC